TCAGGTTGCGAAGACCTACAAGGCCCTATTCGATGCGATCATGGACTTCTGGTCTGGTCGCTGCGCCTTTCAAGCGGCGGCGTACTCCTTCAGTAATTCGTGCTACAACGCCTTGGAGAGCTCGCACGGTATGTACGAGCCGCGAGGTCAAATTAGATTGAAAAAGGTCATGATGCGGTCAAACGCTCCCTTGTCTCTACTCGAGACGAAAGTTGACGCTTTAACGAATCATCTGGGCGACCTTTCCCTCATGATCAGGAAGAACCATTGGAGGGATGAGTCAACAGTGTTCAGCCCCGTACACGATCGTACCTGTTCATATTGCAAGCGCCCGGGTCAGAGCGCTAATAGATGCGATGCGAATCCGCATAGGGAAACGAAATGCCCACGTTGCGGGAAATTTGGTCATTCAGAAGCAATCTGTGGGGCTATATTTGGTTCACAGAGGGGGTAGCAGCGCTTACTCTCCCAAGAAGACTCAAACCGCCGCTGGCGCGTCGAAGACACTAGGGGGGTCTGCAGGACACCAGGTGAGTTTTGTGACGCACGACAAACTCCCCGCTGATGAGGAGTTAGTGGCATCGGTCAAGAGAAACGCCGATGGAGAGCCGGTGGCCAAGACTCGAAAGGATGGTGGCGATGAGACAACTCCCTCCCTTCCCAACTCGCGTAAGTACTGGACCCCGAACCACATGCGGAAACCTCCAAAGCCTGGCCATCGAGCAAAGAAAGAAGAGGACGAGTAAGAAGAATGCCGTCCAAGAGCACTCGGGAAATTACGAAGTGTTCTGTTCCCTCGCGAACGCCCCCTCTGGTTTGACTTTCGGTCAACTGATTCGAGGAGATGGCGACGAGGCCAAGAAAGACATCCGTTGTTTTTTCAACAGTCGCCCTAGACGCCCCGTAGCCGCTTCGATCGGTACTTTGCCGAAACGTCTGAAAGTAGTTTCGGTACAAGTCTACAGAACACAAACGAGGGCTTCGTTTGAATCAGGATCAATCCCTAATTCTATGAATGCTTCTGTGGCATGTAAGCTCTCTCTGTCTCCAAAGCCGACCTCGACGAAGATTACGGTTGCCGATGAGCAAAAGACAATCTGCCTGGGTTCTATCGAGGACGTTCCCGTTCCGTTCAACGGTACTGTTACCTCACTAAACTTCTTAGTTGTTGAAGGATCCCCGGTTGACATCTTAATCGGGTATCCAACTCTCGAAGAACTTCAAGCCTGCATCGACCTCGGTCGCCAGTCAGTTAGAATGGTGATTGGAAACAAAACCGTGAGAATGAGTTTGGAGTTTGACCAAGTAAGTCCTATCGTGGCAGGTTTGGAGACGGATAGTGAAGACTTCACTTCTGATGTCGAGTCGCTCGCCTCAGAAAGTTCGCCGGAAGAAGAGACCTATGTGGTCGCCATCCTTAACGATGACCCTTTTGAGCAAGACGCGAATGTGGACGGAGCGATGAAAGAAGAGGATGAAATGGGGTCACCCGATTCCAATGCCATCAACGAGACAGTGATAATTGTAGTAGAACGCGAAACGTGGCCACGTGCTAAAACAAGGGTCGTTCGTGGGGTCGTGTACTAAGTAGCTAGGGGGAAGCGGTAGAGGCTTTCGGGCGACTGTAGAACCTGGGTGTGCCCGCGAACCACGGAAACTAGAAGCGAACGATGCGGTGATCTCGACCCAGCGGGGCTAACACACGGCCAGCGAACGGTGCGCGCGAGCGGGGAGGCAACACGGGACGTCGCCACGAGAGTCCTAGGGCGCGAGTGAGGAGAACGAGAGAGCGTGAACGAGAAGAAGTTAGTTAGTACCGCGCAAAACCAAGAACGAGAGTCGCGTCCTTGGTCCGTGGTTGCTTGTCCCCAAACCCACCCGGCGCAAGCGCCAACGACACTATATACTGTACTACATCGCGGTCGAGATGTAACGGCTAGAGCTCACGAGGCCGCGTCATAGTACACAAGTGTACAGGCACGGTAGTAGGTCCACGTGTGTGCGTGTCGAAAGCGGGCAAGGCTTGTGTAAATGGGCTTGGTACTGTACGTCGGGTTACTTGAGTTATCTAGATACACGTGTAAACGAGTCGTGCGAAAAAGGATACTAGAGTGGCACGAGTTCATACCACAATATTTCTTCGGGAGAGACTTGCTCATCTCAACGATGAAGCTCAAAGCATCGTCAAGACCGCATTGATGCATAAGAGTATTGTTGCCGCATCTCTTGACAACTTTCGGCTTGCTCAAGTCCCAATCAAGCATCCTTTCGAGTTAGATGATACGAATCCAATCTACCACTCGGCAAGGAGAATGGCTCCGTTGCATGACGAAATTGTGCGGAAAGAGCTCGATAAAATGCTGGAAGCAGGAATCATCACCCCTTCCAGCTCCGCATGGTCGTTCCCGGTGGACATCGCATCCAAAAAAGATGTTCATCCACGCTTCTGTGTTGAATACCGTGCCCTGAACCAGAGGATGAAGGCCGACCGATGGCCTTTTCTGAAAATCGAGGAGATATTTGACGAATGGGAAGAAAGTTCGTACTTCACTCCTCTAGATTTGTTCAGCCGTTACTGGTAAGTTCAGATGACACAACAATGCAAAGAAATGATTACTTTCGTCTACCGCTACGGGACGTATAAATTCGAAGTCATGCCCTTTGGATTGATGAATGCGCTTTCGACATTTCAGAAAATGATGGATAAAATCTCTCGCGGAGTGCACTACAACTTCATGACGTTGTAGTGTTCCCCAAGAATCTAGAAGGGCATCTTCGGCACCTGCAGCAAGTATTTGATGTGATTGATGAGGCTGGCTTCAAGCTTAAGTTGACGAAGCGCAACTTCGTTCAAGCGAAGATCAAGTTGCTTTGTCATATTGTCAACAAGAGAGGGATTGCTGTAGTCCAGTAGTCCCGCTCTTGTCGACAATATGACAAAGCTGGTCTAGTGGACCTGGGCAAGGTCGAAGCAGTCTGGGATGCACCGATCCCGACCACTACGACCGAACTTAGGCATTTTCTCGGGTTAGCAAGCGACTACCGTCATTTCAGTACAAGTTTGCCGATATTGCTGCTGTACTCCATGCGGCTACATCCGAAAATGCCGGATTGAAATGGACCGGAGAATTGCAAGAAGCCTTTGATGAACTACGTATTAAGTTGACTTCCCCGCCCGTCTTGGCTTATCCAAACTTCGAGAAGCCCTTCATCTTTGAGACAGATGTGTCCTCGGTCTCCGTCGGAGCTGTGTTGGCTCAAAAAAAGAATGACGGGAAGATACATCCCATCCAGTACGCAAGTCGTACTATGAATACATCTGAGCGCAAGTACTCCGCTTGTGAGCGTGAGGCACTTGCGGTCATCTTTGCTTGAAGAAATTTCGTGTTTTTGTGCTTTCGTCTACACCTTTCAAATTGATTCCTGATTACCAGGCTCTTGGTTACGCCTTTCGCAAGAAGTACATCCGCGGTCGTTTGGCTCGTTGGTTAGACTTCTCAGCTGAGTACGACTTCACAGTGGATTATCGTCGTGGTTGGGCAAATAGTGCAGCTGACTATCTTTCTCGTATTCAGCCCGACAACGGAGGCGACTCTACTGGCCTGGAAGAGGGAGAACTTGCCTTGTCCATAACCACCTAGTCTACTCTACAGGAGATCTAGAAGAGTGCTGTAGAGACATCCAGTCATATCTGCAAGGCGAAACTCTGGTTGGGTTGGACGACCGCAGGAAATCTCGCGTGAAGACTAATGCGAAGAACTTTCTTGTGTGGGAGTGTAAGCTTTTACGCCGTGCCATCCATGGTCTTCGTGTTGTTGTCCCAATCTCCTATCGTGAGAAGGTACGGAAGGGTTTCCATGACGACATTTGGGCATTGGGACTTGAAGACTACTCGTCAATTTGTCACAGAAAGGTACTGGTGGTCGACCGTTTATATGGACGTAAGAGACTACGTGAAGAGTTGTGACGGGTGTCAGATGGCACGCCCGATTCTAAAGTACAAGACAACTGTGCGCTTTCCTGTTTCAAGCTTGTTTGATGTTTTCTCTATTGACTTTGCCGGCCCCTTCCCTGCCACCTCGTCCGGAAACCCCTTTGTGTTAGTTGCGGTCGAACATCTGACAGGATGGCCAATTGCAATAGACATAGCTGATAGTGCTGCTCAAGCGGTTCTTGACTTCGTCAAGAGAGAAATTATGTACTCATTCGGCCCTCCGCGGACCATTGTCTCTGGCAATGCGACCAGCTTCACAGCCTCGGTCGTTTCCAGCTCCATGGCTCAGCACGGCATCACGTGGCGCACAGTGCTCGCCTACGCTCCCATGTCTAATGGTAGAGCGGAGAGAATGATTGGAATGTGTAGCATAAACACCCCCAGTGAAGGAGGGGTGTGGCTCACAGTCTGACGGTGACCCTAGATCGGTGGAAGGCGGGGGACTCCTCCTGCTCACGGAACTGGTCACGGGCCCGGTAGCAGTGCGGTAGAGCGGGTCGGGGTAGGTCGCATGAGCGGATCGACGCCTCAACGCCCCGGAGCAGTGCTGGGTGACGTACTAGCGCTGATGGGCGGAGACGGATCCCGGCTCGCTCGCGTGTCGCGCAACCCGACCCATGCCGGTTCCCAACTAAAAGTCGCGCGAAGGTGTCGCGCTAATTAGAGTAAGCTGGAGGGTTGCTCGGCGGTCTTGGATCGTGACCAAGCTACCTTGGTCCTCTCCCGCCGGCGCCCCCTCCCCCTATTTAATATACAAGTCGGAGTTGTCATACTATACTACAGTACCGTACTACTGTACAGCGCGGGTCGTCCTGCACTGTAATACTGTCCGCTATCGGGCTGACAGCACACGTGTCGTACACGTGTGCTGGCGCGTGCCCGTGCGCTGTAAGATATGCGCGCTCGCACGCTGTAAGGTTCGTACCTTAAAGCGTTAGATCTAATTGTAATCTAATCTAATATATGCAGTAGTCGCCGGCAATTATGTCACAAGCTGCAACCAAACCTAAACGTGGTACGAGTACCGCTGAGTGCCTTCAGTGCTCTTAGAGAGCTTCTTAATATGACTTCTTTTCGATAATTTCCACATCATAGTCTCCCGAACATCTTGCACTTCACGGGAAAATCGTGCTGCCTTCGTCGCTATTTGCTTCCGCGGAGCTTTGCCGCCCGTGCTCCGACGCGCGGTTTGCTTTGTCTTCGCCATGCCAGTGAGATCCTTTTGCGGGGGGCATACTCGGGGATTGAAACCCCACCTGAGCACCGCCACACATGTGAGCAGACCAAGTATTTCTGATAAAGAAGAGCTCGAATTGCTATTCGCGCTGCGCAAGGTCTTCGCAGGATTAATGGAAAAAACACAGTTTGAATGTGCACTCAAGTTGTGTGAACAATGGATTAATGTTAGAGAAAAATACTTACAGTGAGGTCCCAGGTACACACGTGGCAACGTGGAGCCATTGGGGGAGTGGTGTCGATGGTGACACTAAATTAGGTCACTTTGGGGATTACGGTTGTCAAGATAGACGGCCCGGTTGTGACTCCGGCAGAGGACCAGGTGTAGTATATCACCCCCAACGACGAGGGGGTGAATACTGGCAGTTCGGAAAGAACCCGATCGGGGGGAAGGTAGAAGCACGGCCCACCCACGGTACCGAGCACGAGCTCGAGGTAGCGGTGGTAGAGCAGGATCGGGGAGAACCTGCGCACGCGCGAGCGGTTCGACGCCTCGACGCCCCGGAGCGGTACTGGGTGACGATCCAGTACCGATGGGCGGAGGCGGAGCCGGCTCGTGGGCGTGCTGTGCGCGTCCTCAACCTGCGCGCGGTGCTACTCCTAGGTAACAAACGGAAGTACCTCGGAGTAAGCGGGCGGACCAAGGTGGAGGATCCTTGACAAGTCCGTGCTTATTCCCCCCTCCACCGCCGGCGGTCCGCCCATATTTAATATACAGAGTAACCTATTATAACACTACAGTACTGCAGGTCGGCCTGCACTGTAGTGCCGTCAGCCGTCGGGGCTGACAGCACACGTGTCGTAGTCGTGTGTGCGCGCGCCCTCGTATACGTGGGGTACACGTGTGCGCGCGGGCTGAGGTACTGTATAGCTCGGTTACAGATCTAATCTAAATTTAAATCCGGGAGGGGGATATGCTACACCAGGTATGACACGGAGGCCACGCCTTATACGTTGTAACCCGCCCGGATTCGGATCTGGGGAGGGGGTCGTGTCACCGGAATATCACAAATTTACAGGAGGTACTGTACTGTCCGGGGACTAACCCCAGGACAGTGGTCCTTTAATAGTGGACCCGATTGGTCCGTATGGTGGCAAATGTGGAAGAAGCTCATGTTGATAGCGTACTACGAAGCACTCCGCACCGCGTTTGAGAAGAGTGATGTACATGGATGACTGGCCCGGTGACTAGACCTCTTTTCCGAATACAATTTCGATATACTATATCGGCTCCGTGCCAGCAACCAGGCGGCAGACTACCTCTCCAGAATTCATCATGGTAAATCGTCTGATGTTGATAGTCAGTAATCCCTGTGCACCATACCCAACCCGCATCCACTCATCGCCAACTTGCAGCCGCACCTCCAGCATGTCACGCACTATCTGAAATCGTTGCATCTGGGTGAGCTCGACGCCGCGTACAGGCGAAGGGTGAAAGGACGCAAAAAACCTCCTCTGGAGGCCCGAACTACTCCTCTGCCGTACGAATAATGTACTGCGTGCAATCCCAGAATTTTCCGAAAGACTTAACATCCTGTCCGTGTTTCACGATGACTTGGGACACTGGGACCTGCTGACCACGAAGCAGCTTATATTACAATGGTTCTGGTGGCCTCTTTGCCACCGAGATGTTTACGATTACGTCAAATCATGCAGTGGTTGTCTACACCCGGCTCCTCTGGCACATTATTGGCGCACCCTCCACTTGCCCATCATCTCACTGTTTAATGTGTTCTCTGTGGACTTCGCCGTCCCCCCACCTAGGTTTGCCAGTGGCAATCTTATGCATTAATTGCCGTGGAACATTTGACTGGTTGGCCATTGGCGATCCCAGCGCCCCGTTCCACCGCAGACTCTGTCATCCGTTTCATCAAGACGGAAATCATCCATTCCTGTAGTCCGCCGCGGATGATAATAGCCAAACATTCGACATGCTTCACGGCCTCTTCACGGCCTAAATCCATTGCCTCACCATTGCCTCACAGAGCATCAACTGGCAAACAGTCCTTGCCCATGCCCCCATGTCAAATGGGAAGGCAGAGCGCATGGTCGGAACGTTGAAAAGAGCCGTGAAGATGATGACGTTCCGCGATCCTGCAAACTGGGATCACACACTAGCTCAAGCAGTGTACCGGTATAGAAATAGAAGGGTGGTCACAGTGTCTTCACCGTTTGAAAAATGAACGGACAACCCGTTAGTAGGTTAAACAGCGATCCCTTTTCGCTCATCGAAGGAGCCACTGACACCCAACGCCAAATAGAGTTACTCGTCGTCACGACGAGTACCTCGACTCGGCGCCACGGTGGCGCCCCTTCGTGCGGCACGGGCCGATGCTAGGAAAGAAAGGAAAACGGCAGTGAGGACGCCCAGATTACGCATAGATGACGAAGTACTCGTGACCCAAGGACCAGCCCTGAGTTTCACAGAACAATGGTCCGTATTCGCGTCCCAGTATTACGGCTCCTGTCGTATCACACGGGCCCACCACCCCGGATATGAATTGAAGTCGGTGTCTGGAAGGAAGGCACCGAACTTCGGTCATGCCCGCCGCTTTGTCCTGTTTAATCGTCGGCCCTCTTACCTCCTCCTTTAGTCCCCTGCATTCAAAATCCTCTGGGTCCCAAGCTTGAAAGCCACCTGAAACAAGGAAAGTGTGTAAGAAGTCCGCTCGTGCGATTGCCAACGCTCAATCACCCCTGAGCATGTAGGGCTATCTATTTCTCTCGCCGTAAACGCTGGAATGTCGCGGATAAGCACCATCCGGTATGCCCCGTCAATAAAAACACCCCCCATGACATACACCCACAGAACCACGCACGGGTGATGCGGTCGCGATTTGTGTAGCCAACCGACGCAGAACTCCGCCCAAAGGACTACAGGGGTTACCGGTGTGGCTGTCCATGTGTCCCTCCTCGCCAAAGCGGTCGTATGGCGGAAGATAGCGAACGAGGTAGGGTCCCGACACCCCCCATTGCACCGGGCCGGCGGACCCGGAGGCCCAATTTGTGTCCGCATAAAGCGGTAACAGCCAGACCTGCATCACAATACGCCCGCAGTAGAGTACTGGATGCCGACGGTGCATGTGTCCGTTGGCAGTAACCACAGAAGTAGCCTTCGGCAAAGAGATATAAGGAGTAACAATAGTGGTTAAGGACCTTTATGACACATGACGGTGCGAAAGTCCCTCACCCGTGGTCAAGCATAAATGGGCGGTCGTGTGACGACGGGAAGGTGATCCAAATACGAATTGATCCAATTGCGAGGCTGGGGTTCCAATTTAGGCATGATGACCAATGGCCAGACGGTGTTTGTAATATCTGGAAACAAATTCCAATTGTAATGCGTAGTTGTGTATTTGGATCTGAACGTCGAGTTCAGTAAGCATGACACAGTGCGTGCAATAGAATGGTCAGAAATTCGAGAAGCACGATGTGTATTGCTAGAGGGTAGGAAAAAGAGGTCCGCGGGGGAAAAGTGGGGGACCCATGTACAAATTCAAACTAGCTCAAACGACCTTGTCCAAATAACAGGACTCACACGATTTTAGCGAAGATCGATATTGGAGAGGCCATATTATAGGGAATATCTGTGTTGTCAATGCTATCAAAGAGTTCTTGCGAAAATCCGAGCTGCGATTCTGCATAGAACTTAAGTTTATTACCGTGCACTAATGCCCAGCATTCATTAATGATATCTTAGCACCCGTACAACCACTCTGAAGCAATGCAAATGATTCATCGGGCCCCCGCTACTGAAGCTGTAACTTATGACCGTCTGTCGGAAAGCGATCAGCAACTTGAACGAAATCACCAATTGAAAAACTGGGCTTCTGTACGTTGTTCTTTTCGTTTTGTCTCTTGACCGCAGATTCCTTAACGGTTTTACGTCGCTCGGCGACATCTTTGTGTACAACATGCAATGAATCTAAAAGTCTTTCGACATTTAGCCGTTTCAGGGCTCAGCTTTCATCAGTGCTCTTGATTTTATAAGAGCTTGGGGACATAATGGGATGAAGAGGGCTGTCTTCAGACATTCCAGAAAATACGGTATTGGGTGGGCAAATTCCTAGACATCTTACCCGTTTTTGTTCAAAACAGACTGCACAATTACCGGCACAAGCCTCCACCCGTTTCGCTTCACACGAAACTCGGCCAGTAGAGCTCTGCAGTATCGTAGAACTTCACCACAAACACTTTCGACTGCGCCGTTACATTGCGGAGTGTTTGGTGCGGTAAAGTAGTGATGAGCATGTAGCGCTCGACTAATTGCTGCCATCACTTTGTTCTTGAAATGGCTTCCCCTGTCCGACAACCAATTTCTCACGACGCTAAAAGCATAAACCGATTTCATGAGGGCGCTGACCACCGCTCCTGACTTTGCCCCCTTAACTGGTTGGAGCCAATTGTAGATTGATGCATCGTCCTCCATAGCCATGCATATTCCCTGGCTGTCAAACCTCTCTCCCATACAGAGGAAATCAAAATGGATGCGTTTATTGCCATTTCCCATGAATTTGATGATCAAGCGGAAGAGAAACTCCATTACCTCCTATGGAGACGGCACAGTGTAAGCAGGAATTTCAAAAAGGTGACACTCCGTCGTCCATGTGATCCTAGAAATACTCCTTAATGGCTGCGCAGGCGCTGTCGAAACCTTGACGTCCTGCCCACTCGCAATGGTCGATGACACAAATACGAAATTGTAAATGTGTAACTTTAGAGGGGATCGATACGGAACCTTTCATGTTGCGCCCTATTTCATCTTCCTGGAGAAGCGTACTTTACTTTTCTTTTCAATCCCCGCTTCTTCTTTTGCATTAACGATATCTGCCGCCGATGACAATTTAATATCGGGGTAAACCAAGTCACTGTGATCCGTGAACATCTGAGATCCGGTCGGGAGCAGCCAAAGGCAGTCCAGTTGTTCCACGCGGTGAACCGAAGCCGCAGCTTCGTTTCCTGGTGTGGAAC